CTATTTCTTAGAAGACAGCTGCTGTGTAAGAAATGTGACTACCGAGAAATCACCATGCTGTGAGAATCACAAACCACACTAAAAGGCCCCGGAGGGTGAGATGCTACATGGAGACAGAAAGAATCCAAGGGTTATGAAGTGCTAGACACAGGAGTGAAGGGCCGTCTTGGACATCTAGCACAACAGAGACTTCAGATGGCATCATGACTGTTACTACATGAAAGACCCCAAGCAAGGACTTCCTGGCTGGGCTTAGTCAACCCGCAGGACTAAGAGAGATAATGAAGTGTTGTTTTTAGCCACTGATATCTGGGGTGATGTGTTAAGCAGGAATTAATGGCTGGAACACAACCCATGTTGACTACAGTGGAGTGTAAGGGGAACCCTTCTTCCCAAACTTTAAATGGAGTAGCTCTATTTTTAATCTATTTCACATTTTGGGGTTCCTCATAAGAAATTATTTACAAAAAAGTAGCTCAATGTCTCAAAAAGTTTGACTATCACTGCCATAGACAATTGAGAGTTATCTAAATAAATATAGGCCACCCTTGAGGACCATAAAAACCATATTGTGACAGCAAATCTTTCCTGACTAGATTCCGTCAGACAAATATATTTAGGCCATTCTAAATAGATTTATGTTTTTATCTGATTTCTAAATCCCTTATCAAAGGATTCCAATCCCAGTTTCTAACACTCCTTGCCATTAGGAAATCCTTTTCAATTAGAGACTCATAGACTCTAGACTATGCTGTACCAACCCCTGCCGTTGTTGAGTTTAGGAAAAGAAGCTTATAGCGTCTCTCTTAGTGATCTAGACTATAGCTTCTAGAAGAGAGCAGAAACTACTTTCCTTGGTGTTATTGTCTTGTGTTAGGCACAAGATGATGAGAAAATGTGTCTTAATAAGGGCATCCATTTTAATTGGAAATGACGTCTCATAAAATTTGTACATCCTATGGCTCCGGGCTTTGCCTAAAGCATTTGAAGTGCCCTTGCCAATCAAAACTGTCTTTACTTCAACACTTAACAACACTATATGTAGAAAGACTTCCTTAAAGGGTTTCAGCATGCTCAGCTAAGAGCGGTGTTTTTAGTCTTGCTACACTAGTGTGCTGATTCCTTTTATCATTCAGACCATCTGTGATGAAGTCTATTTTGTTAACTCAGAAAACCTCAATTTCTGTAAGACTTTAAAATGAGGCATTAACATATTTTTATAGATTGTGCTACCATTATGGTTTTGGAGACTTCTCATTTCTGTTATTAAAAAGAAAAATCCTGCCATCTAAGCTTCTCATGAGAAACTATTTTTACATTCATAATCTTTAAAGATGCTTATGGAAAGAAGTGCTTTGAACTTTTTCAGTAAGATTTTAGTTCAGCCTAAAGCTTAACAATAATGTAATTTGAGTGAGGGTGGCTGATCCCCACCTGTCAGTGATGCTTCAGGAAGATGCATAAATCACAGCCAGAATCTCAACTGAAACCAGTTTAAAAATTCATACGGCTAATAGTCATTCCTGTGTGATCTGGTTTCTTAATACCTTATTACATTCTGTATACTGGGATTTTAGGCCTGGAATGTACCTTAAAAATCATCTTATTACCCCCTTTGTGCTACAGATGAGTAAACTGAGGTCACAGATTGTGACTGGAAAGCATACTTTGTTTCCACTATCCCCTTGCTGGTCAAAGTGTGCTTGGGTCAGTAGCACCCCCTGGGAGCTTGTGAGAAATGCAGGGTCTCAGGCATCCCACCAGACCAATTGCATCAGAATCTCCATTTTTATAAGGTCTCTACGTGATTCCTATAAGTACATTCATGTCTGAGAAGCCCTGCTTGATACCACATCTGTTTCCCAAAAGCAGTACAAGGCTTTGTAATCCAATCGATTGAGATTCAAAATCCAGATTTTCCACTTTCTAAGTGGCCTTGAACAAATCACACAACCTCTCTGGTCCTGCTTCCTTGGTAGTTAAATGTTGGTATTAATACCTACTCTGAAAGGTCATCATGGGTTTAAATGAAACAGTCTTTACATAGTTCCTCTTCAAATGTCTGAGGATAGGCTGTTGGAAACTGCTACCATTGCTGCTACTATGGCTGCAACTATTGCTACTTACTACTGTTGCTGCTGCTGCTCCTGCTGCTCTCACTATTTCTATTGCTGCTACTGCTATTGCTACTAGTACTACTGCTGCTGCTGTCATGACTGCTTGTACCATTGCTGCTACTGCTGCTGCTCCTGCTTCTTTCGCTAATTCTACTGCTCTTACTGCTAATAGCTGCTGCTACTACCACCATGGTTATTAATATCTCAAAAAGGGGAAGTAGCCTTTCAGACATTGACAAGTGTCCAAAGTGGAACTGAAGCCCAGGTCTCGTGACGGTTATTCCACTGCAGCTTTCCCGGTGCCTCCTAATTTCCCGTCTGCGTTAAGTATAGGTAAATACTAGAGCCAACATTCTTGTTTAAGGCCATTTCAATCCTTGGAGTAAAATGTAGAAAAAGGAGACAGCTTTTTAAAGATTTCTATTTAAACCTCCTGGAACATTAAAGTCAATTTGCTCAATTCTGTGTCTTCTCAAACTATTATAGCTTCAGTGGGTCTGAGTTTCTTCTAGGTGGCAGCTTCTGTTTCCTTTAACTATGGAATACTGCCTTTCTCTAATTTTGCTTCTAGCTTCCAAAATATTTTCCACAGAAAGTTTTACTGGATCTGATAGCACATTTGTTTTCTTAGAAAACAGGATATGTGTTAAACTCTGGGGTGACCTGCAAATTTCAGTCTTTGTCCTTTCAGCACTCAGCCCTGTGCTTAGGTATACTCACTTTTCCCTGCTTACGTGACCCCGTTTTGAATAATTGTAAAGGGGCAAAACCCTTATTGTATAAAAATAGAATTTTGCCATTTTGCAAACTGAAATAGATGTTGATTTTCTTTGAGGTCCCAGAATGACTTCTAGTCCCTGTTCTTTTTTTTTTTTTTTTTTTTTTTTGAAACAGAGTCTTGCTCTGTCTCCAGGCTGGAGTACAGTGGCATGACCTCAGCTCACTGCAACCTCTGCATCCCAGTTTGAAGCAATTCTCCTGCCTCAGCCTCCCGAGTAGCTGGGACTACAGGCACGTGCCACCATGCCCAGCTAATTTTTGTATTTTTAGTAGAGGTGGGGTTTCACCATGTTGGCCAGGTTGGTCTCGATCTCTTGACCTTGTGATCCACCTGCTTCGGCCTCCCAAAGTGCTGGGATTACAGGCGTGAGCCACTGTGCCTGGCTAGTCCCTATTTTTAGAACTGAATGTACGTGACTCAATTTGAAAACAATGACTAAAATGTTAACCTCTTAGCTCCAGGTAGACTGGATTCCAAAAAGTTATAGATCCTCTGGGTAGTAGAATAGCATATTTGTATGGAATGCACCCAAATATCCTAACGATTTGTGAAAGCATTTTGCAAACATCAATACCTAACAGCAAAATGTCTTCACATACTCAACTAGGGAAGTGTAAGCAGAAGAACAGGATTGTACAGTAGAGCCAGTTTCAGGCAAACCCACAGCAGAAGATAATGGAATTATACACTTTGTAAGAAATGGCGTGGCCTAATACGAATGGACACCATGAAAATTGTGCATCTCAGCCCATGAGTGGGCTCTTCAGTACCAGTGGAGGAGATCTGGGATGAAATAGAAAGTCCTTGAACAAGCCCTGGTAGAAATGATACAGCCCAGCCTGTTATGGAGGTGAAAAAGTGCCAGGCTTTCCATCCCTAGGAGGCCAAGACTCCTTGGCTACTGCTAGAGAGAGTACAGTGACGGGTATCTCAGCATGGGATGGCATCTTATACTTGCTCAGTTTAGCAAGCACTATGTCTTGTGCTTTTAATGAACACTTAAGCATTTGAAGAGAGCCAAATGAATTAGAAGATCCAGTACATATTTCTCACAGCCCTCTCCCTTACTCACTTACAAATTAGCTAAATTCACAAACAAGCTGCTTTATCAGGCTCAAGGATTCTTGCACGACTCCAAGTGAGTTACAAGTCTTAGATGTAAATAAGAAGTTTAACATTTCCTGAGTGAGAATTTGGATATACAAATATACTGTGCTGTCCTGGATTCCAAAGATGGTATTTCCCACTGTCAAAAAAGGTTTATATTATTTTAAGAATGATTTAAAATTATTATTTATTTATTTACTTATTCATTTTTAAGCACTTACATGATACTAACCAAACACTTTTTTAAGCACTTTACAAATATTAATTCACTTAATACTCACAATCATATTTACTAGGAAGGTACTATTCTTGCTATCATTTTATAGAGGGGAAATAAAGTCATAGAGAGTTTAAGTAACTTGCCCAAAATTACATAGCTAATACATGGCAGGATTGGAACTCAAGAAGTTTGGCTCTAAAATCTATGCTATCACTTACTATGCTGTATTATGAGGTTATTTTTTTTTTGGAATTTTCTTTATACTTAACTAGTAGATAAAATTTTTAGTTTGCAATAATAATAAAACCATAATGGTGAATTCAATACTTGAATGTGCCAATTATTGTGGCTCTGAATATATAATATATGAGCTATAGGTTGTGTTTTTAATTTCACAGTCTTTATTAGCTAACTTTTTCAGTTTATAAGATTATGATAGTTTTTCCTTTTAGGGCCATGTGTTATTATAAACTACAAATGTAAAAAGCAAGCTAAGTGTTATTTTAAAAACATCCTACTGTTACAATCCAAGGGACCAGGTACAGATGGCCAGAACCTGCTAGAGATTTGTAAGAAATCATTTAAAAGAGACTGGAAATAAGTTATTTGCCCGTTGAACACCTCAGTGCTTCCTTTCCATGCTGCTATTTGCATGAAACTTTGCCACTTAGGTCAGGGCTTATTACGGTTTGAAAGAGTTTCCAATAGCCAACCACAAACCCAGGAATCAAAGTCCCTCAAATATACACAAAAGAGAAAAATGCACACAACCTACCTAATCTACAGCCAGAGTGCTTCTGGGCCATGGAACCACCCCATTGTGCCTTGGCCACCCCAGCACAGACGCCGGAGTGTTGCCATGGTGGCAGGGACCCAACTGTGAGGGCTGGTTTCAATACCCCGCAGCTGCTCACTTCAGAAAAGGCAGGATGGCAGCCCACTTCTGAATGAGCGTTTTTCTCTAGGCTTTGCCCTGACCCGAATATTGTTTCTCACTGAATTTCCTTTTATTTATTTCTTTTTAGATATCAACTTTCCTTGAACTTTTCCTCTCATTTGTGTTGCAGTTGGCAGAACTACAGAACTTCTCCCTTCAGCAGAAAATGCTTTTTTCTTTCCTTTAACCATTTCTAAGGTTTTCCCTGTGTTGTCTTTATCTCCCCCTTCCAAATTTTACACCACATACCTGTGCCTCATTATACGAAGACCCAGAACAAATTCATCAGGTTTATTTACTCCAAGAAGTGTGAAGGCCTCCGGTAGCCCCCCAAAAAAATCCCTCCGTGATTCACCTGACAGCAGACATCTGGCCTATGAAACTTTGGAGCTAGAATAGAAACTATGACCCTTTCCTCTTTTCATTCTGGCAATGGTCATAGAATCTGTGTTTAATCCTGAATACATTCTCAATTCACAGTTGATTTCTAACCTGCTATTTTCTTCTCTTTGTTTACATGTTGAAAGAATGTAAGGAATGTAAAAATATAAAAACCATTATGAATTATGACCCCCTCTCAGAAGGATTGTAGAAAAACTGTTCGTGATGCAAAACAGGAGCTGTATTATATTTGAGGTGAATTTATCATCCTCCATGTCTAAAGGAGTTCGGAATAATTTATAAATGGGATTGTACTGCTGTTGAATATATTTTTTTTTAACTAGAAACAATTTGTTTACAAGTTTTTACTAAAGGCTGTCAGAAAAGAATGTTTGTGGACATGGTATCCAAAAGGCTGACAGAACCCAGAACTTGCTTGGTATTCAAAGGAGAGCTCATCCAACATTATCCTGCACAGTGTATAATTACTTGCATGTTGGGAGCCAAAAAAGGGAATGCAACCCTGTGAGTGTGTGTTTATACTGAAAAGTTGGAGAAGCAAAACAAGTCAGCAGCATGCTTCATCCCAACATCTGGGAATAATTAATTTGCTTGCTATGATGTATAACATGAAGTTGATAAAGTTGCCTGAAGCTCTGCATTTAGGCCATTTTCCTTATTTAATGCTTTCTGCTAATTTTAGTAAATCTTTTTCTTTCTAATCCTGAAATGCTGTGACAAGGAGGAACCTTCTGCTTATAGTTTCTGGATCATTTTCTTTTTGGTCTTATTGTCAATGTGTTTAGGAAGCTGACACTCACCCACTTTGCCCCCTTCTTCCTCTGCAGTGCGATGCTGCAAGAAAGAGCTCTAGAAAGTGAGGTGCTGGAAAATGTGACTGGGTCTTTACTTCTCTCTCTCTCTTTCTCTGTCTTTCCCCCATTCCCGCCCCCCCCTTCTTTTCTCTCTCCTCTGCCACCCTGTAAACGCATATTTGCGCTCTGAAGAGTTTCTCTGAAATAGAGAATGTGTTTTTGTTCCATTTTACAACTTAGGCTGGGATACTGGAGACTGTCATGTGAGACTCTCAGTATATTACATATGGAAAGTATTGTGACACGTTCTGATGGTTTATGTTAGGTGCTACATTGCCTTGATTGTGACTTTTAGAAAGAAAGCACAACATATATACAATGTCATCTTATTGAATCTAACAGTTCAAGGTGGTACAAGGGGCTTATCAGTCCCAGGGAAGTCTCCTCCAGTTTCTCACTGACACATGCAAGAATGAAACACAATTGTTACTCTGACCTTAGTTTGTTTAATTTGGGATTTCAGAATAAGAACAAGTATCTTATTTTTATTGGCTGAGGGCTCCCAGCTTTGAACAGTGCTGGAAATTTTCTATAGCACTTTTGAAAATTCGTATTTTACAACATCCAGCTATTTTCTTTGAAATCCTGGTGAGAGACAAACTGAGGAACTCCCAGTGTAGCCAGGCTATCTCATTCCCCCTGTCTTTTCTTAAGGTTTGTCTCCACATTTTGACAACAATTTCAAATCACTTATGCCCTGTATTTCAGGATTCTTTGGACTAAATATGTGTTGTTGTCTTTCATGGTAAAAAATGATAACTTCTAGAAAAATGATAATTCTCTGTTTATGTGGGGGTTGTCTTACAAAGAGTAATGGCCTGAGAGCTTGTCCTCAGCCCCCAGCACACTCACTGACCCGAGGGAGAAAATGCTTAGGCAGGGTTGCTGCTTTGGCTCATCTGCCTCTATACTCCCAGCCTCTCCACATTGCGACAGCTTCCTGCTCCCTTCCTCAGAACTTAGAAGCAGGGACTGGACCTTCTTATCAGTGACTAAGTAGTCATGCCATAGTTCCCAGATGCCTGTGTATGAACCAGTGACTGGGTTGACACTGGTTGGTTATGAGTTTTCCATGACCTGTTTTCTGATACCAAAAATGTCATCTTAGTCTAGTCAACAAAATATTGAGGTGTGTTGGAATCTCAGCAATTATATTAATGAGCTACGGCACATTACAAATAAGAAAAAAAAAAAAAAAAAAAAAGTAAGCTCCCTGACTACAGGGACCTTGCTTGTCATGTTTGCCACCAAGAAAAATTTCTGATGCATATCACTTAATAAATATTTGGCTAATGAATGAAGAAACAGATAGGTGGAAGAGTAAGGTGAGTTTTTCCTGACACTGAATATATTCATTTTCAGAATATAAACTTCTGTCCTTCCTACCTTTTTGCTTTTATAATTTATATATATATGTATATATATATATACATATATATATAACAATGATAGAAGAATGAATAGTTACTAGAAAGATTTTGGGCAAAAAGGAAATATTAAGCAACGTGAGATCAGTTTCCAAAATTCTTGCACTGACCTATAACATTCAAGATTTGGAAATTACAGCCCCATGCATCCTTTTTCTTGCTCTTGCCTTGTCTTTCACAATGCACATTTTCTTCATAACATTTGCCTATGAAGGGGAAATAAAAGATTAATGCCTATGAACCAAAATGAAAAACAATTTCAAATCCAGATCACCAATACTGAGCATCCACTTTGTGCCAGGCCCTGAGTTATGCACATTCACATGCTGTCCCTTAGAAGTCCTGAGAGGAATGTGTTATTACTTCCCTTTTACAGATGAAGTGTCAAGTGAGCCAGATTTTGGATGGTCCAAGGAGGTTATGGGTGGCTGAGGAAATCCAGGAGAGGTTAATGGAAGATGTGGGACTGAATTGAGTCTTGCTAGTTAAGGGTAATTTGGCTGAAGAGAATGACATTCTGGCAAGAATAAAGATGAGGAGAAGGAATGAGCACCACGTAGTTTGGAACAGAGTCCAGACTGACCTGAATTGAAAGCCAGCTGCAGTTAGGAAGACTGTGCACACATAGATGATTGGACAAGATCTTCATTTTGCAGGTCTTTAGTATATGCCTTAGTCCATCAGGCTGCTCTAACAGAATGCCATTTACTGGGTAACTTATAAACAATGAATTGCATTTCTTACAGCTCTGGAGGCTAGAAAGTCTAAGATCAAGGCACCACCAGATTCAGTGTCTGGCAAGGGCCCATATCCTGGTTCATAGACAGCTTCATTGTGTTCTTACATAGCAGAAGGTGGCGAGGATGTTCTCTGGGGCCTCTGTTATAAGAGCTCTAATCTCATTTATGACAGCTCCACTCTCATGATGTAATCACCTCCCAAAGGCCTTATCTCCAAATGTTATCACATTAGGCATTAGGATTTAACATCTGAATTTTGAGGAGACACAAACATTTAGTCTATTTGTCTAAAACTTGCTGACAATTTGGCTTTCCATTCAATGAGTCAATGCCCTGAAAGACATATTTGTCTCTTTGAATTTGTTTACTTGACTGTTTTGGGCTCCAGTGCTGCTGCTCGAGAAGATGAGACGCTGGGTGATCGTGCTCTTAACTGCCAGGCATGGTTTCCTATAAAGAAGATTCTCTTCAGACCTTAGTACACTATCTGAGGGTCTTTAAGCATAATCAGTCAATAGCTCTGTTGCTGAGTGTGCGGTGCATTCTTAGTTTTCTACAAGAGCTCAGACTATTGAGTTAGAAGTTCCTTAAAGGAGCAGAAGCCTAGCCTATTACAAGTTTCCAACCCCATTAATGCATGCATAACCTTAATATAAATATTGTATGAGGCTGGGTACGGTGGCTCACCCCTGTAAGCCCAGCACTTTGGGAGGCCAAGGTGGGCAAATCACCTGAGGTCAGAAGATTGAGACGAGCCTAGCCAACATGGAAAAACCTTGTCTTTCCTAAAAATACAAAAATTGGCATGGCTGCAGGTGCCTGTAATCCTAGCTATTCAGGAGGCTGAGGCACAAGAATCGCTTGAACCCAGGAGGCAGAGGTTGCAGTAAGCGGAGATTGCGCCACTGCACTCCAACCTGGGTGACAGAGCCAGACTCTGTCTCAATAAATAAATGAATAAATAAATATTGTATGACATTAATCTTACTAGAAAGTTCTGTTTCTTCAGTGGTGATACCCTGTGCATTTAAGGATATGCTTACCATGTTAACTCTGTGTCATCTCACTCATTGAAGAATGAAAAGTTGGTAAACTTGGCAATATGTGTATTTGTAAAGCACGTAGTTCGAAGCTGCATGGTAGGTGTTGAAGTTACAAAAGATTCTTATTATTCTTATTATTTAGGGATTTGTTTATACCCTAAAAGTTATTTGTAACCCCAAAATCAATACTCATGGTGCTTTCATGGTCATTCATGGACAGGCACAGAGCAGTGAAAAATTTGAGTCATCTGACATATACATTCCCAGCTGAGGTTGAACAAGGTGATGCTATGCATTCTTGTTTTGGCTCTCATACTGTAAACAAGTATCCTTTTGCAGTCTATTTAATGCCATGTTTTTCATGTTTGTGTTATTTTTGTGGATGGTTTTTCTGTTTTTTGTTTGTTTGTTTGAGATGGAGTCATGCTCTTTCACCCAGACTGAAGTGCAGTGGCGCAATCTTGGCTCACTGCAACATCTGCCTCCCAGGTTCAAGCAATTCTCTTGCCTCAGC